TATATTATTGCACTTGATTTCTGATGTGATGAGGTTTGGAAACCTTATGCACTTTAGTGCTTATCCATTTGAAGACAAGTTAGGTAGATTGAAAAGGCTTATTAAAACATCTTCCAAGCCTCTCCAGCAAATTTGTCGTAGGCTATGTGAAAGAGAATTAGTTAATACGAAAAATTATCTTAACCCTCAGGGTACGGACTATAAAAAAGTTACATTCCGTACGGACATGGGTTAGCCTAACCCGGCGACTTTGATTGACTGTACATCGGGCTGTAATTTGTCAATTGAAACAAATTTTTTTTTCTTTGGATCGGAAATTTTTTCAAAAATACAATGGCGTTGATAGATTTATTACATTATTTGTTTAAACAAAGATATATTTGAAAATGTAAACTGTTCTCAAAAAATTTTCATAAAAATTCATTTTTTCTTTTAAATTCCATAACTTTATGAAAAAAAAAGATATCGACATTTTTTAAGTCGCGTTTGAAAGCTAAAAAGTTGTTCTTTGAAATGGCTGAATTCGTTTTTTGATCCATTCCAAAAAGTATATTTTTTTTGAACTATGAAAATACCCGTTTTTTTTTGCGATATAGCGATATAACGTTACTTGCTTGATTTATCGTAATAACGCAAAAAAAAATATCTTAAAGTAAAAATAGTTCTTTTGGATGTTGTTGATTAATATAATATAAATAAATAACAAAAATTGAAATAATATTAACATGCATGCACGGATACGTTATGCTGGTATGCTACAGAGCATCATTTTGAGGTTAGAATGCACAAAAGTATATTAAAAATAGTAAATTATACATACCAGAATACTAAAAAAAAAAAAAAACTCCTACTGCAGCAAATACTCGAAAAACACAATTTTTTTTAACACGGATTTTGTAACGTTCCGTACGGACTGGGTGTGGACTACCCGAGTTCAATTTTTAAAATCGTATAACTTGAGCACCAAGCGCAGACTGACGCTGCCCCTTGGCGCTCACATAGTAGCTACCTCAAAGATTCCCCCCCACCCGGTACGGACTCCCACCATTCACTTTCTTTGAAATGGCGCTACTTTCAAAATTCGCTCGGGTTACGCTAACCCAGTCCATACCCTGAGGGTTAAAAATCAAGCAAGAGGTCTTATAAATAAGCATGTAAATGGCCCAATAGCCAATATAGTTCCAGTCATATCGCAATATAAAAGATATGAACACGAATCTTATACTCTGACTATAAGTCAACCAAATAATTGTGTTTTCCTTAAGGATGGAATGTTTAGGCTAGTTCAAAACATTGTAAATACTGGAGATGTTAACGGCTTGAAAATTATCGTTAAAATTTTTGAAGGTACTAAAAAGATCTGTATGAGTTGTGCATATTTTTTTTTCCTTATCATTTGCATTTTTTCTTGCACTTATTTCATTCTGAAGGTATGCAATATGCATTTCCTATAAGAACCTATGTTAAAAGTACAATTTTTGGAGTAGATTTTTTTCGAAACGGGACGGTGAAAAATTCCCAAAAAATTCACATAATTCTATTTTGCATTCCAGAACAACATATTAAAATTTCATGAAACTCTCTGCATTTTGTTGTAGCCATCGAACGTCCTTAATGTGCTTTTTCATAAATTTTAAATTCTTGTAGGAGGACAGGAGGTTCCATCGATGAGTTCGATGGGACAAGTATGGGATATTAAATTGTACAATTAATGTGCTCTTTCATAAATTTTAAATTCTTAGAAGAGGACAGGACGTCCCATTAATAGGTTTGCTGGGACATGTATGGGAGATGAATCTGTAAAAAATTATGTGCTCTTTCATAAATTTTAAATTCTTAAGGGAGGACAGAAAGTCCCATCAATGAGTTTGAAAGGGATGGATGAGGAGGTTACAGAGAAAACACTTGGCTTCCTTATCAAATTAAAATTGTGCAAATTAGAAATTTACACTTGGCTTCCTCATCTAATTGAGATGTGAAAATTTGCACATAACAAAGTCACAATTTTGAAGTGAGAGAGTAGGAAATTAGCAAATTGAATCCACAACGGGTGGTGTGAAAGTTCACCATTTTAATATCTTAATTTTTTATATAAATAAAAGTGATTAAAAATTACAGATACAGAATGTAAAGGTAATTGATTTGGGCGATGATTGGTAAAGGGATTTACAAAAAAAAGCTAGTTCTATATAAAAATTACATATACAACTTATACATGTAACTTTTCGAGCAGAAATTGGTAACACCTTCATCGATCTTCGCCAAATCTTAAAGAATTATATATGAAATAAAGGTACAAAAGACTGAAGAATATAATAAAATTAGAAATAGCCCAATATTTCAAAATTTACAAAAGTTAGACCACAAGGGTTGACTTACAAAGGTCAACCACGGGCATTTCTAAAAAAATTCAAAATTTTTTAAAAAAAGAACCCCTTTATCGATCATCGCCAAATTCAATACCAACCTTCCTTGAATGATACTCTATCGATTAAAAAAAAACATCCTAATATCTTAAAAATTACGGAAGTTATACCACAAACAAAAAAAAAGATAATTTAACACCAACCTACCTTTAATGATACTCTACGATTTTTCGACGTTTTCGAACATAAGCAACACATTGGCATCGAAAACTCAAAAAACAATTTTTACTTCGGTTTTTTCTACCCCTATTTCATATATAATTTTTTTAAATTCGGTTGATTAGACTTAGCTTTATATGCGATCAAAGTTATGGACATTTGATCGCGTATAAAGCTGGGTCTAATCAACCAAATCTTAAAAAATTATATATAAAATAGGGGTAGAAAAGACTGAAAAATATAATAAAATTAGAAATAGATCGATATCTCCAAATTTGCGGAAATTAAAGCAACCACGGACATTTCTAAAAAAAATTCAAAATTTTATTTAAAAAGAACCGCTTTACCGATCATCGCCAAATTCAATCCCAACCTTCCTTACATGATACTCTATCGATTGAAAAAAAATACATCTGAGAAAATCTTAAAAATTACGGAAGTTAGAGCACATACGGACAACACATACACTCATATACATACATACATACACACGGATATTTTGTACAAAAGTGATTTTTCGAGGTTTTAGAACATTCTAAAAAAGAAGGAAGAGGGTATTTACAAACTGTTGAATTAGGGAGAGAGGGAGGAGGAAACGGAAAATGCGACAGAAAAATAGACAGGAGAACGGATCTTCCCGCAGGGAGGATTGATCCGCGCAATCCTTTGGGCCTAACGAACCTTCGGACCCGAGTTCATCATCGCGGACAATTGCACACAGTGACACACACTGCATGCACACATACATATACACACTTTCAATATTTTTTTCTTATTATATACTATAGACGCATAGTAGACATATCATCAGACGCGCGCTTCACGCGCACTATTTAACTTTAATATTATACTGTTACTGGCCTAGTTTACACCGATCACTTGATTCGCATATTAAATAGTAAATAACTAGTAAATAAATCTGATTATTGGCTGATCAGTTCAAATATACCATTTGATACGCGTATCAAGAGATCGGTGTAAACTAGACCAACTATTACACTCAAAACTCAGATAAATCTCACTTGTGACGTCGTTCTATCCTTTTTGGTAACTAATGAATAATAAAGACAGAATGACGTCGCAAGTGAGAATTATCTGAATTTCGATGTAAATGGAAAGCAACTATTAATTCCCTAATACACATAACTATCAAAATATGCGATAAAAAAATATATTGATATATGCGCGTTTATATATCTATTTAATTTAGAAGAAGAAGGAGAAGGATGGACAGACGAAGGAAAACAAGTATGAGAGAGAGAGAGAGAGAGAGAGAGAGAGAGAGTGGAGTGGAAGGATATATAATACAATAAAGAAATATATATGCGGAGCGATAGAATTGTAAGAAAGCGGATATTGTAAAAATAAATATGTGGCGAACGAAAGGAGAGAGTGGCGGAGAAGAGAAAGCGGTAAATGCCGTGAGAGGAGGAGATAGAGACGATATAAAAGGCAGAGAATTTTAGGTAGACATTAGAATTGAAAATTTGTAAAAGGAGCGGGAGTCCTTCTGTACCCCGTAAAAAGAACAGAATAAATCCACTATCTATCTATCTGTTTCTCTATATATCTATCTATATAAAAAGATCAGGTATATTAGTTCGTGCATGCGCAGAAAGCGTTATTTACTACTTCTGACACTATCTATATTGGTTTTCTGGCTTTATTTGAAAGATGCTTTCTGAGCCGAAGTGTCCCAGAACTGTTTAAGGTGATGCTGGAGCCGTCTGTTTTACCGATTATTACGGCATTTCTTTGTCGTCACGTAGCGTCGTATTAATTTGACAGAATTAAAAATCCTTTTCCAGAATTGCAGTACATACATTAATGATTCAGGGGAACTCCGATTTTATATAGACAACGAGAAAAAATTACGAAAGTACAGATTTCCTTATCTACTTTTATTCTAATATGGCGTCTCGAGTTGCGGCAGCTGTCAGCTCGTCACAAGATGTATTTCATATAAGAGATATACCATTGGTACGAACGCGTAAACAAGTTCCCCTGAATTGCACAACAATAAAAACATCGATAAATCCCCCAAATCAAGATTTGGAAGCGTAACAAGTATGATGTCGATGTGTGTATCGGTCGTATGTATGCGTGCAATGTTAGGTGCTATCCTTGTCTATATCCTTGACTATACAAGGACAGATATAGGTTGATAACATAGAAAATGGTAATTTTGTCGGTCATACAGACGGCTCCAGCATCACCTGGCTGCGTTCGGAATAGCACCACAGTTGTACAATCTGCTGAACGCGGCCAAGCAACTGATGGCAATTACGTACGCTCATTGACGTAAGCGGTGGTAGGTGGTAGGGCCAAAGCACATATGACAGTCGTAGTCGTGGACGTAAGACGTAAGTAACGCACAAGCTTTGGCGTATCCTGATCTGTCAGGTCGGGGGTCGGGGACTACGACCGTCGTATATCGCTACGCCATGTTATGTGCTTTGACCCGTAAAGCGGTAAGATAATCTTCCGCTTGAAATCGGCTGTAAAAAGAGACACCGAGAGGAACGAAACTTACGAAACAAAGCATTTGCGAAGAGGCGATCCCCTAAAACGACATGTGCACCTCGGATCTACGAAGCTGGCCGATCTTCAGTTTACTGGAACCGGAATTCGTCTCGCAGATTCACATGGTTGTGGTATACGGTAATTTGTTCTCTTCTTTTTCCTCGCAATACTTTGACAGTGCTGTTAACCATTACGTTTCAAAACAGGTAACTTGGGTAATGAGGCCTTAATCGTGACAAGGGATAAAATGGTGCACGCCCTAGGTAATAACATCGCAGGTTGTCTGGGAACGGGGGATGCGCATAGCACGCTGTATCCAAAGAAGGTGGATGCCTTGTGCGACAAAGATATAAAAACGTTCGCGTATGGCAGCGGACCTCACGTTCTGATGCTTACGAAAGAGGGAGAGGTACGCTAGGAGGTTTCTTGTACGTCGAAGTAAAATCAAATATGAATCTTTAGTTGGTATCTTTATAACGCTTCTATGGAATACATATAATTTCGATGTGTTTCCTATGGAATACATATAATTCTTATTAAGGACGAAGGAGCCCATAGAATAATTAATATAACTCGTATATTTTGTACAACTGATACTTATCTATGTTTTTTATGTTTTTATAAGAGTACAAAAAGACATTTGGATTTTTCTATTGTGTCATTCTTTATTGATGAATCCAGCAATTTTGAAGAATTGCCAGACATTTTACGAATCATTAAGTTAGGCGACGCACTTGTGAAACGTTAGAATTAATGACAGCAATGTTTTTGAAAGGTGTATTCCTGGGGTCACAACGGTTATTGCGAGCTGGGGAACGGAACATGTAATCAAGGTCTTACGCCTACTCTAGTGAATATGCCCACTCTAGGAAACGGTCTGAACATGAAGCGCATCGTGGACATCGCGTGTGGGAGTCACCATTCCGTTGCTCTGACCGAAGACGGTGAGGTAAGTAAAGATCGTTCGTCGAAATACGATAACAATAACTCTCTGTCGTTACGAGCTACATAGTCAGGACATAGTCAGGTTTCGATTTAGGTATATGCCTGGGGACAAAATAATTGCGGACAAGTGGGAAGCAGTATCAGCACAAATCAAGGTGCACCTAGACAGGTGAACTCTAATTTAGCTGGGAAGAAGGTTGTCTACATTTCCTGCGGTCAGACCTCCACCATGGCTGTCATCGAGAACGGCGAGGTGTACGGTTGGGGCTACAACGGCGTCGGCCAGCTGGGGATAGGCAATTACGTGAATCAAATGACGCCGAGTCGGGTCGGCTCGCTAATAGGCACTGTGATAGGTAGTTCTCACCTCGATAGACCGATAAAAATAGAAGAGAACGAAAAGTGAAACGGGATTGCTGAGCAATCGATATTGTTTCAGTTAAGGTGGCTTGCGGATACGCGCACACGTTGGCGCTCACCGACGAAGGGAAGCTCTACGTCTGGGGTGGGAATAGTTACGGCCAGCTGGGGATCGGCAACAAGACAAATGCCTGCAATCCAGTTATGGTAAATTTATTTATCGTCATCATAAAGAAATAGAACGAAAAAAAAGAAAAAAAGAAAAGGATTTCATGATCAATAGTTGGTTGGTCATCATCAGATTACGCACGAAATGGGAAGGGTGTCCGACATCGCTGCTCTGCACTACAATCACATAAGTATCGCCATTGCCGAGGGAGGCCGTGTTTACATGTGGGGTCACTGCCGCGGTCAGAGCATCACGACCCCGACCGCGACTCCATTCTCGAACGTGCACGACGCGCTTGCTTGCTACGGATCGCCGAGCGTCATGCACAAACCGCTAATCCTACACCCAAATGAAGAGTCGAGCATATTGGAATGCCTGAAAACTGCATTCGACGATCCGGTATGTCTTGTTCTATTGTCCCGTATCTGTTCGTTTCGCGTACACAGTTAAACACAATGTTACACTGTGTCCTCTGTGTCTCTTTCTGGAAAGCACCCAGTATTGTGCGCATTTATCTCTAATGATTTTTTTCTCCTTTTCAAGTCGACGAGCGACCTCACGATACAAGTGGAGGGCCAATGTATCCACGTGCACAAGGCTATCTTGAAAATCCGCTGCCCGTACTTTAGAACTATGTTTCAGCACAATTGGGCAGAAAACAACCAGAGGTAATCATTTAACAAAGGATCATTGTTAAATGTAGGTATGTTCCGTCAGTGATATCAAGGCAAAATGAGATACGCGCTGCTCTGGCGCAACTGCCGTAGCTATAGGGTCGGCAATATTTAAAATTGTGTCGTCGCGCCTTCGATATGCACGCGTTTTTTATTGTGGCGGATCATAGCTGAACGACGCGAAATAATCTACTTTTTTGTTAATTTCGATATTGCGTTGTTAATTGACGGCCATGTCGTCAAGGGAAGTCGAGTCCGAACCGCCGAGTGAACCAATCAAGACACGAAGAAGAGCGGTTAGCGAATAATTCTCGGTGTTAACAAGCTGCGATACTGCCGATTCCTATTAATACTCATTGTACTGTACTACTAATGAAATACGTATTTCGATACTACAATAGTGTTACGTAGTATTTCATATAATGATTAATAGTTTTTACTTATTTCCTACCCGGTCATTTCACTGTTAACTCAACAAAAGATTTTAAAAAATTTTTCTCATTTCAACGTTCTTCCCTTCTAGCGTCATCGAGCATGATCAATTCTCATACATCGTCTACAAAGCGTTCCTGAAGTATTTGTACACTGACGTGATCGATCTACCTGTGGAGAAGGCGTTAGGTGAGTTAAGTACGCTATGAGTGGTTATCAGTCTACGTGTCCTCATTATTGAAGCGATATCTCTCATTACAGAACTTTTGGATCTGGCTAACGCGTATTGTGAGAGCAGTCTCAAGAAGCACTGCATTCGTATGATAAAGCAAGGAATTACTGTATCAAACGTCGCCTACTTATATAGCATTGCAATTGAATATAGCGCGGAGGTAATCAAACATTAACGCTCATTATTAATATTTCATTAACTGCGATATCTGTTTAATGTACATGTATTATTGAATGCTGATGGCAATTTTTTAGGAACTAGAAGAATTCTGCTTCAAGTTTGCCTTGAATCACATGACGGCTGTAACACAGACGGAAAATTTTGCCAAGCTGGACGAGAATACGTTAAAAACTTTTATAATTAAGGCGGGCAAAGCCGGTGTTTTTAGGACGTAATTCATCTGTGTATCTCAAGAACAATGCGCCTCGACAGGAATGGACGAAAATCTTGTGATTTTGCAACGGTGTCAAAACATTATATATATATATATGTTTGAAATCTGATTACGAATGTGAGGGTATATTCCAGGACTGTACATTTTAGAAAACGTAAACAATCCCGGAACATACCTCTGGGCATACATATATATAAATGTTTTGACACCAAAATTTATCATTTATCCATTTATATATATATATATATATATATATATATATATATATTATTATATTTATATATTTATTATCAAAAATTAATAATAAAATATAAAATTTAATAATTTAATATTGAATGTGGCAGACCCAGATTGGGTTGAAACCTGGTCCAGTTTGATTGGTCGCGACCTGATGCACTCAGTGGAAACTCAGCCTATGGGCGCGTTCACCAGACACAACTGTTGAGTCTTCTATTCGTCTTTATCAACACTGCGTTGATTGTTTGGTACTAATAGTAAAGCCAGCGGCACACGGGCCGGTATTCATAGTCGGATTTTATTTAAATTGTTTTAAGTCTAGTCAAAGGCAGTCTTAAAGGTCTATCCAGACAAATTTGCATAGGTGCATAACCATGTGCATCAAGAAACGGATTGGCCTATTTCCTTATGCACATGCATATGGACCAATCAATTCTCTCATGCTTATGTTTATGCGCTATGCAAGTTTATCTGGATTAAGGCAATCGCACACAAAATGCATAGCTTAGCATAAGCATAGCATAAGACCGCTAAACCAATGAGCATCCAGCATAAAGTCGCCATATTGATTTACATAAGATGCTCATTGGTCCAGCGGTCTTATGCTACGCTTATGCTAAGTTATGCATTTTGTGTGCGATGGCCTTTATGCTTATGTTTATGCGCTAT